AAAAAAAAAAAAAAAGAAAGAAAAAGAAAAAAACAGATGTTAAGAGAGATTTAGTCCTGGCTCCTACTCTGATGGTAGACATATACAGCCCCAAACCCCAGGCCATGAGGATGGCAGGGCTATGGGCCAGAGTCTCACAGATTGTACCTAGCGCTGGCCTGATGACGCCCTTCTCCTTCAGGCACAGCTCTGAGCATGATGTGGAGAGCTGCGCCTCCATGTTTGTCTGACGGGAAGGCCTGACCTTGATCCTTGGTCTGACGGGGAGGCTGTGTCCCCACTGGACCTGAGGGATGCTTGTCCCCTCCCTGTAGGAAAGAAAGCTCCTGGCGGCTGCCCAGCAGATGCTGCGGGATTCCCAGCTGAAGGTGGCCCTGCTCCGCATGAAGATCAGCAGCCTTGAGGCCAATGGGTCCCCTGAGCCAGGTGAGACCTTGAGGCCTTTCGATGTGGGTAGGCATGATAGGGCAGGACTGGGCCTGAGGCCTGAGTGTCCCACCCCCAGGCCCTGAGCTGCTGGCTGAGGAGCTGCGGCACCGACTACACATCGAGGCTGCAGTGGCTGAGGGTGCCAAGAATGTGGTGAAGCTGCTTGGTGGCCGGAGGACACAGGACCGCAAGGCCCTGGCCGAGGTCAGCTGGGTCCCCTGCCCTCACTGCAGGGCTCCACTTGGCCCCTGGCTGTGCAGGTGGCAGCAAGAAAACAGGCCTCAAGTGCCACTGGGACCTTCATGGTGTCTCCAGGTGGCCTGAACCCTGCACCCCACGGCCAGCCCTTGCCTCTGTTCCCTCTGTAGGCCCAGGCCCAACTCCAAGAATCCTCGCAGAAGCTGGACCTGCTCCGGCTGGGCTTGGAGCGGCTGCTGGAGGGCCTGCCTCCTGGCCACCCTCTACACAGCAGGGTGGCCCGGGAGCTGCGAATGGCGGCCTTTGGGAACCCACAGCCTTCAGGGCCCCTTGTGAAGCCCACTGCCCTGACAGGTAGTCAGCTTCAGAGCATCCCCTACCTTTAGGGAGGAACTCTGAAGCACTCTGGGGAAGAATTCCTGTGCTTGAGCTTGTGATTCTCCTGCCTCAGTCTCCCTAAATGCTAGGATTACAGGTGTGCACCGCCATACCAGGTTTAGAGAGGTCTTTCTTTTTTTCTTTTCTTTTTTTTTTTTTTTTTTGGCAGAATTGGGGAATTGAACTCAGACCCTTGCACTTGCCAGGCAAGCACTTATTCTACTGAGCCATCTCCCTGGCCCCCTAGAGAGGTCTTTCTTACCCTGAGCTGAGCTCTGCCTCTCTGCAGCAACTGCCTGACAGTCAAATAATTTGAGTGCGTGGCCCCAGGTCCCAGGGGCCAGATGGGCCACATTCCATGATGCCCAGGCTCAGCCTTTCGAAAATTGTGCTCTTGGCCCAATTGTTGTCCTCAGGAGGTCCTAGATCTCCATTGTTTCTCTGCCCTTTGAGAGGAAGCTCTCAGTGGATATAAAACTGAGCCTGTTTAGTTTATTTATTTATTTATTTATTTATTTATATTTTTTTGAGCCTGTTTATTTTTGTACCCACTGGGTTAGGTGGGCCACAGTTAACACTCACCTCCACTGTTCAGATGGGGAAACTGAGGCCCAGGGACCAAGTGGGGCCCAGCCTGAAAGCCAGGCTTCCTGCTCCCTGCCCCAAGCTTTGGTCCTTGCCACTGTGCTCTTGAGACCCAAGCATCAGGCCGGATCTTGTCCCCCAGCCCCACTGGACTCTACCACAGAATGAGGTCTGGGCATTTTGTTTTTTCTTTTTTTTTTTTTTTTTAATTTATTTATTTATTTTTTTGGGGAGGGGCAACTCAGCCCACCAGGGGGCGGGCTGGCTGGCATGTGGTGCTGGGGGATTGAACCGGGGTCCCTGTGCTTTGCTAAGCTTGTTCTAAGTAGGTGCTTTAGACCACTGAGCCATCTCACCAGTCCCTTGTTTGTTTTCTTGAGACAGTGGCTCCCTCTGTCTTTGAGGCTGGCCTTGAACTCCAAGTGATCCTCCTGTTTCAGCCTCCTGGGTGTTGGTTGGTCGCCCTGAGGATGGCAAATGCTGCTAAGGTTCCATGTACATCAGGTCTGGGTCAGCCACCTTGTGGACAGGGTGATGTTGTTGGGGTGGTGGTATCTGACAGAGGTTTCCTGCTCCCCAGGGACGCTACAGGTCCATCTCCTGGGCTGTGAGCAGCTGCTGGTGGCTGTGCCCGGGCGCTCCCCAGTGGCTGCACTGGCCAGCAGCCCCTCTGAGGGCTGGCTTCGGGCCAGGGCCAGGCAGCAGCGCAGTGGAGGCGAGCTGGCCAGTGAGTAGTAGGGGAGCAGCCAAGGGCGGCGGGCAGCAGCACCCCTGCTCTGCCTGCCCTGAGCTCTGGTCCGAGCCCTGTTCCCGCAGGTGAGGTGCTGGCTGTGCTGAAGGTGGACAACCGTGTTGTGGGCCAGACAGGCTGGGGTCAGGTGGCTGAGCGGTGCTGGGACCAGACATTTGCCATTCCCCTGGAGCGAGTAAGGCCAGCTGTGGGGAACCTGGGTGAGTAGGTGCATGGTGTGCCTGGCCCCAACTTGGGGTGCTCCTGGCCCACACCCCTCAGCCTAGCCTCCCTGCTGCAGGCACGGGAGCTGGAGATCGATGTGCATTGGCGTGATTGGCGGCAGCTGTGTGGTGTGGCCTTCCTGAGGCTCGAGGACTTCCTGGACAACGCCTGTCACCAGTTGTCCCTCAGCCTGGTGCCACAGGGCCTGCTCTTTGCCCAGGTGCTGCCTACCAGCTGCCCTCTGGCCTGACAGCCCCTGGGTGCAGGGTTTGAAGGCCCTTAGAGACTGACCAAAGAGAGGACATCTCTTGGGACAAGTCTAGAGGCTTGGGTCCCTGTCTTGCCTCTGCCCTGCTTCATATGCAACTAACTGCACAAGCGCTTCTCTTCCCCAAGCCTCAGTTTCTCCACGGGTACCACTGAGGATGTGCAGTCCACCTGTCTGACTTCTTGGTCTTGCATCTGTGGGTCGATATGTGGGCTAGGAAGGGGCCTGGGGTAGCCAAGACAGAGTGGCAGGTGGGCAAGGAAGGGACTCTCATCAGCTCTCCCCCGTTCCCTACAGGTGACCTTCTGTGACCCTGTCCTTGAGAGACGGCCCCGGCTGCAGAGGCAGAAACGCATTTTCTCTAAATGCCGAGGTGTGGAGGGAAAGGGCTGTGTGTGGAGGGGCCGGCTGGAGCCATCGAGGGTTCTAGGACTGACCCCCACCTCTGCCCCAGGCCAGGACTTCCTGAGGGCTTCGCAGATGAATCTCAGCATGGCAGCCTGGGGGCGCCTGGTCATGAGCCTGCTGCCCCCCTGCAGTTCGCCAAGCACCGTCAGCCCCCCCAAAGGGTGCCCTCGGAGCCCAACTACACACCACGGGGCCTCTGAGCCTGTGTCCCCGAGGTGAGGCACCACCTTGCTCCAGACACTCGCTTTTCTGTTTCGTTTGGCCCCCCACCCCTCTGTCTGTGTGGCTCTGTCCACCCCACGACTCTTTTCCTTCTGAGCTCTGCCATGTGTCTACTTCTACATGCAGTAATGTGCCCAAGAAGACCCTCTTGGGAGAAGAGATCCAGCCCCCACCCAAGCCCCCACGCCTCTTCCTGCCCCCAGAGCCCATGCCAGAAGAGACCCCGGTAAGGGCTGGGGGGTGGCAGGCCAAGAGGCCAAGAGGTGGCAACAGCCCTGGCCTGAGCTTCTGTGTCCCCACAGCGCACCAAACGCCCCCACATGGAGCCCAGGACCAGACTTGCGCCTGTCCTGCCAGCATCTCCCAGCAGGTACTCCGCAGGGCTACAATTGCTTAGGGACATTTGTCTTCACTCTGCCCCCCCCTTGGGGTGGGCGCTAAGGCCAGCTGGCTGGTGGGTTCTTCCTCACTCTGCGCTGTTACTGAACTCCGGCTGTTTGCAAGACTGCAGAGACGGCCGCTTCCCTTGTGACTGTGAGGCTGTCCTGTGGCTGGATGTGGAGGGTACAGGGTGGCTTGCTGGGAGCCCTGGCCTGGCCTCCAGGCTCTTTGTTCCCTTTCTGTTGTCAGCAGGAAAACGCCCCGGCTGCAGGACTTCCGCTGCTTGGCCGTGCTGGGCCGGGGACATTTTGGCAAGGTAGTGGCCTGGGAGGGCACCATGGAGGCACTGGGGTCTGGGGCTGGTGGACAAGGAAGTGAAGGCACCCCGTCCTGCCTACCTGGAGTCAACCACTGTCTGGTCCCCAGGTCCTCCTGGTCCAGTTCAAGGGCACAGGAAAATACTACGCCATCAAGGCTCTGAAGAAGCAGGAGGTGCTGAGCCGGGATGAGGTCGAGAGGTGTGCAGGGTCCCTAGAGGGTTCTCAGGGACGGGCCTGGGCTATGGCCAAGAGGGGGCACCCGAAGGTCGTGGGGTCCCAGTAGGCCTGGGTTCTTATTGGTATCTGCAGTTGGAAACTGAGGCCCTGGGGCAGTTGCTTCTCTCCTCTCGGCACCTGTTTGTTCTTCTGTGTAGTTGAGGCCACGTGGTCGTGCAGGCTTAGCGACCCCTGTAAGCCTTTGCATCATGGGTGCCGTGCCATCCCTTTTCCTACCTGGCACTCTGAGGACCAAGTGAGCTGGGTACTATGTGGGTAGCAGGGCACTGCCCAACAAGAGGGTTTGTGTGTGTGTGTGTGTGTGTGTGTGATATTGAGGATTAAACCCAAGACCTCACTCAACTAGATCCTCAGCCCCTTTTAAAAATGTTAGGAGAGGCCTGATAGCAGGTCCTACAGTGTAGCCAGGCTGCTCTTGAACTCAGAGCAACCCTCCCGCCTCAGCGTCCCCAGCGCTTCCGTTACAGCGTGCACCACCATGCCCGACCCCTGTGGAGGCTCCAGCCCTGAGACCCAGGCCCTCCCTCCCCACAGCCTGTACTGTGAGAAGCGGATCCTGGAGGCGGTGGGCCGCACAGGGCACCCCTTCCTGCTCTCCCTCCTTGCCTGCTTCCAGACCTCCAGCCACACCTGCTTTGTGACCGAGTTCGTGCAGGGCGGTGACCTCATGATGCAGATCCACGAGGATGTCTTCCCTGAGCCCCAGGCCTGGTGGGTTCCACTCCCGTGTCCCACCCTGTCTCCACTTCCTCATGCATCCTCTGAGAACCCATCAGCAAGCTTCGTGGTTCCATTCTCCCAGCATGCCTCACTTGAGTAGCAGTTACAAATTGCTGCTGGCCTAGCACCCCGTGAGTTCAAAGCCAGCCTGGGCTGCCCAGTGAGACTGTGGCTCAGAAAACCTGCCTGGCTTGAGAACTGGCAGCTGGTTATTTTCTGCATCCTTAGTGCTCAGGAAGGGTGGGCTGAGTGCACAGCACCTTAAGATGACCCTGGGTGCCTCTGGGGGTGCTGTGTGCTGCCTCCCAGCCTGCACGTGGTCTTCCTCCACCCTGCCTCCCACCTGTGGGACACGACCCATGCCTCTTTGATGCCCAGCCTGGGCCTGAATCCTCCCCATCCTGCCCTCAGCTTCTATCTGGCCTGTGTGGTCCTGGGGCTGCAGTTCCTACATGAGAAGAAAATCATTTACAGGTAACACAGCCCAGAGGCGCTGGGGCGGTGGGGTTGTTCTTCCTGGTCTCCACCTGCAGAGCTCCTTTGCCCTTAGGGACCTGAAATTGGATAATCTCCTGCTCGATGCTCAGGGCTTTCTGAAGATCGCAGACTTCGGGCTGTGCAAAGAAGGTGGGGCTGTCCATCCCAGATCTTTGCGCTGTATCCTTGTTGTCCTCCTGCCTCAGCCTCCTGAGAGCCAGGGTTATAGACTATGCTGTCACACCTGGCTTCCTGGTGTTGATGGGTTAGTGAATGGGTCATCTCGCCAAGCAGGCATTGGTATGGATGTTGGTTTGCAGGGATCGGCTTTGGGGACCGGACGAGCACCTTCTGTGGCACCCCAGAGTTCCTGGCGCCTGAAGTGCTGACCCAGGCAACGTACACATGGGCTGTGGACTGGTGGGGGCTGGGCGTGCTGCTGTATGAGATGCTGGTGGGCGAGGTGAGCACAGGGCTCCTGGGGGTGCAGTGATGGGCGAGGTGCCCCCCATGCTCTGCTGAGGCCCCCTTTCTACAGTGCCCGTTCCCAGGGGACACAGAAGAGGAGGTATTCGACTGCATTGTCAACACAGATGCCCCATACCCCCACTTTCTGTCAGTGCAAGCCCTTGAGCTCATTCAGAAGGTAAGCGCCTTGGGCGTCCAGGGTGAGGGTCCACAGCCGTTCAGTTCCTGGGCTCTGCTATTGCTGCCCTTGGGGTCCCCAGTGTCGCGTGTGGGGTGCCTGTGGGACACCCCAAGTGCACACCTGCTCCCTGCCCAGCTCCTCCAGAAATGCCCAGAGCAGCGCCTGGGAGCTGGCCAGCAAGATGCAGAGGAGATCAAGGTCCAGCCATTCTTCAGGGTGAGTGGCTGGCCACAGTGGCCCCATCGCCTGGCAGGGTGGGGGCCTGAAGTCACTCCAGGGCTGCTCTTTCCCCCGACTCAGCCACCTCTGCCCTCACCCCCAGACCACCGACTGGCAGGCCCTGCTGGCCCGAGCCGTGCAGCCCCCCTTCGTGCCCCTGCTCTGTGGCCCCTCGGACCTACGCTACTTCGAGGGCGAGTTCACGGGGCTGCCACCTGCCCTGACCCCTCCTGGCCCGCACAGCACCCTTAGTGCCCGCCAGCAGGCCGCTTTCCGGGACTTTGACTTCGTATCCGAGCACTTCTTACAGCCCTGAGGCCTATTGGTGAGCCCTGACCCAGACCCTAAGAACCCACAGGTGCCTGCGGGTGCCCTGCCCCGCAACAGTGGGGCTCTCAGGTATTGAGGAAAATGTGGGACTCAAGGTAGTGGCTGCCAGGCTACTGTGTGGGCTGTCATTGGGCAGCATTGTCCCCTTCCTGTCCTCCCACCTTCCTCAGCCTCCCAGCAAGAGCTGGACCAAAAGGGCACCACAGTGAGGAGTGGCTTAGTTTGTCTTTTTAATACTTGACTGGCTTTGTGGATTATTAAATGTGTAAAACTGCACAGGAGGAGGCCCAACTGCTCAGCATCACCTCCGTCCTCTTCTTCGCCTTCTTCCTTGGGAAGGCGGGACTGCACTCAGCAGGCAGGGGTTCTTGGCCCTCCCAGGCCTGTCCAAGGTGGCAGGTGGCCTCTGGGGATGCTAAACATCCTGGCTGCTGCCCCCCTCCTCCTCCTCCTCGGCCCACAAGGTATCCCAGGACCCCGAGGGCCACCCACAGAAGAAGTGAGCCAGATTGCGGGTCAGGCCACGGTCAAAGGGGTTGCCGGGGCGCTGACGGAGGTAGGCAATGCGGTGTGAGGAGATGAACTCCCAGGTGGTGGTATTGCTGGCCACCAGGTAGAGGTGTGAGGCCAGGAGCAGCCCGGCCACCAGTGAGAACAGGGACAGCAGCAGGAAGGTGGCGAACAAGAGCCCACTGGACCGCAGCCACAGCCCCCAGGGCTGGAAGAAGTGGAGGCCGGACCTGCAGCAGAGAAGGGGCCCGGGCTGGGGTGGGATGGGCACCCAAGGAGCCCTGGCTCTACCCATGCCTAGGGATGCCTGCTGCCCACACTGCCCATGCCCTGGGTGGGTGGCACCTACCACGCCAAGTGCAGGCCCCACAGCAGCACTGCCAGCTGCAGCGCCAGGTAGGCCACGAAGAGCGGGTGGTTGCGTTCCCCCACACAGTTCTCCATCCAGGGGCAGTGGTGGTCATAGCGGCGGACGCAGCGGCGGCAGTCACGACAGTGCCGGGCCCGCAGTGGCTGCTATGGGCGTGGAGCAGAGCCAGGGCTCAGTGGCGGGGGACCCCAAAGAGAAGGGTGAGGAGGGCATGGGGCAGGAGGAGGTCAGGGAGTCTCAGCATGGCCTTTGCTCCTCCCCAAGGGTCCCTGCATCACCCACCAGCACCAGGCAGTATCTGCAGCGCCGGAGGGCAATGGCCTGGGGCACCATGGCTGTCTGTTCCTCCTTGGATTCCTCCTGAAAAATGAGGGGTTCTAAGATGGGTACCTGGGGGGCAGCTAGCAAACATGGTGGACATCTCCCTGGGAAGCAGCATGGTTCGGGAAGTGGAGGTGGGGTGGGGCAGAGCAGGCCGCACTGAGCAAGGCTGTGTGACCTTTGCCAGGCATTTGTCCTCTCTGCACCCTGGCAAGAGGATTCTGAGAGGCCCAAGAAAATCCACAATGGGCCCAGGCCCTTGGGCAGCTGGAGATCAGGTTCCCTGGGGCTTTGTTACCTCGGGCGGGAGCTGAATGTTCACATAGCCTGGGTCCATGAGCGACACAGCCAGGTAGAGCAGGAGGGAGCCCAGCACCAGGAACAGGAAGGTGAGCGGCAGTAGCAGCTCTCCCTGCTCCTCCCATTGCCGCAGTTCTAGAGAGGCCAGAGGACAGTGAGGTAGGGGCTGAGGCGCCCCAGAAGTGTGTGTGGGGGGATGTTCCTGGCTAAGAACAGCCCCGGAGGTAGGGTTCCTGGGTGACCAGGGGTGCTGCTGGAGGAGGTGGTCAGGCCCGTGGGACAATTCATCCACACTTTCTCCGGAGGGCAATAGGGAGCCATGGAAGGTTGTAGGGCATGTTTCCTAAAACCCCCCCTGCTGGCAAGAAGCCAGGTTCAAGGGGAAGCCCAGAGGCAGGGAGGTCTGGCCAGGAGGAAAGAGAGGGTGAAAGGACAAGGCCTGGTATGAAAGAGGTCAGGAGAGAGTGGACAGAGGGATAAGGGGTTGAGGGGAGAGGGAGGAGGAGTCCTGGGTTTCTGGTTTCCACACAGGGACAGACCTGCCAGGTCTGAAGGGACTGAAGCCAGATGGGGGACTCTGGCTAGAGGTGCTTCGGGGGAGCCTGGATGGAGCCTTCTCCCCAGGAGGGTGCAGAAGGAGATTTGGGGGGATGGAAGGGGCTCAGGACTGATGGGCCTCAAGGCACACACAGCTCCTGGGTGCCCCCAGATGCAGAAGGCAGCAGGGAAGGAAGGGTGGCTTCTGACTGGAGACTCGAGTCCCTAGGCTGAGGCTGGACGCACTAGGGAGGGGACTGGGGGGCAGGCTGCTAGGGCGCTGGGCAGTGGATGAACAGGGGGCTACCATGGGAACAGCACCCCTCAAGGTGCCCGGACCTGGGTACGTAGGGGCTGCCCACTGGAGGCCAGGGGATGTGGGCAAAGGCCACTCCTTGCATCTATTTGATCCCCCCAAGGGTGGGAAGTGGGGAGTGAGCGCGTGAAGGATGGGGTGAGACCGAGTAGACAAGGGGATCTAGTCGGCCCTGGGGTTTCGTGGGCATCAGGCAGCGATCAGGAAGATGCTAGGATGAATTAAGGGTCGAAGGGGTATCAGCAGGTGGCGCCAGGATTGGGGGGGCCTCAGGCTGGCGGTGCACTTCAGTATCTCTGGGGATTAGGCAGAGGGACCCAGTGAGCCCCGAACCAAGCGGGGTCGGGTGTGTCCGGCTCACCCGTATCGTGCAGGAAGAGCACCAGCGTGATCCCCCAGGTCAGCACGGTGTGGCCGGTCCGCACCAGGACCCCAGGGCTGAGGAGCGCCCAAGGCGCCATCGCCTCGGCCCGGGGCCCCACCCGGAAGCAGCGCCCAAAGGGGCGGGCCCTCGGAGGGAGAAGGGATGCGGCCACCCGAGGATTGGCGGGCCGGGGATGTGGGCGGGCCGTTTTGGGCCAATGAGGCTTCCTATTGGGTGGTAGCTGCGGCCCAGTGGTCCCGCAAACCAACAGGTGCCTGAGAAGGCTGAGGGCGGGGCCGGCGCGCGCGCAGCCAGTAACTCCTCCAACTCCAGCCCCCACAGGCCAGGTAACTTTTGAAAGCCGGAGAGCAGGCGCGGGGCCCCGGCCTGTGCCGTAGGCTCCACCCCCGCTGTGTGAGCATGCGCGCGGCTCTCTGCTTGCCCCGAGGGTCTGGCGGTTCAGGTAGTTCCAAAGGTGTAAGGACTATGGCCTCGCGAAATGCAGGTGTCTCCACCGTGGCATCTTCGCTTCCTCTTTTTCGGATACTGCATACGCATGATGAAGAGTGGAGGTCGTGGCGCAGACACTGGCTACGAATGGCCCCCGCAGGTTGAAATCTGAAATACCATAGCCGTGCTGCTCCTGGCCGCCGGCAGTATTCCTTGAGCACGTTACTGAACTCTGAGCTGGCTGCTCTTCACCCAAGGAGATGGCAGCGGCAGGTGGTCGGCAGGATAAGATAATTCAAGCGCAGGCCAGGCGAGTGGCACGGGTGTGTAATTGCACGTACTGTACTCGGAAGGCTGAGGCAGGAGGGTTTCCAGTTCAAGACCGGTTACGAATTTCAACCTTTTGTAAAATCTGAACAGTAACTGCATTTGTGTCCTCTTGTTAGGGCACTGTTTTCGCATGCTGGAATACCTGGGCTTGGTCCATGGCACCGGAAACAACAAAAGCAAAACTGCCAGGCATGATGGTGCACCTTTGTAATCCCAGAACCCAGAATCCAGGAGGCTGACACAGGAGGGTCCCTGCAAATTTGAAGCAAGCCTGAACTACATAGTGAGACAGTGTATCTGGGTGTGTGTGTGGGGGGGTGGGGGGGCAGCTAGCAAGCAAACATGACCAGGGATGTAGCTCAGTAGCACAATACCTGCCTGGCAAGTGCAAGGCCCTGGGTATGATTTCTTTTCTTTCTTTTTTTTTTTTTTTTTGGGGGGGTATGATTGATTTCTGGTAGCAAAAAGAAAAGAAAAAAAAAACAAAACAAAACAACCAAAAAACCAAAACACACTAGCTGGGTTTGGCAGCACAGGTCTGTAATCCCAGCACTAGGGAGGCTGAGTATTGCCAAAAATTTGAGGCCAACTTTGGTTACATAGTGAGGCCAGCCTGACCTACATTGTGGGACCCTGTCTCAAAGAAAAAAAGTAGAGGGGGCCGGCCAAATAGCTCAGCGGATTAAAGTGCCTGCAAGCAGGCGCAGGGGCCAGGGGTTCGATCCCTGGGCCTGCCGTGCTGGACCCATCTTGGGGGCTCACTGATCCGGCAATTGAGACTGGGTGTGGTGGTGCGCACCTGTAATCCTAGATCTTGGGAGGCTGGAAACTGGCGGATCACTACAAGTCTGATCTAGTAGTGAGACCCTGAACATCCTGTAGACCCTTCCCAATACACACACACACACATACACACATACACACACACACTAAAAAGAAGAAAGAAAAAGAAAATAAAAAAGTAGACCAGGCCAGCAGTGTGTGTGAAGTGGCCATGACAGAAGGCAGAATTCTGGCTCCCCTGGGTGCCTTTTTTTTTTGGAAACAAGGTTATATATGGAGTTCTGGCTGGCCATGAATTCACTATGTACCCTAGGCTGACCTTGAACTCGATGGCAATCTTCCTGACTCAGCCTCCTGAGGGTTGGGATTATAGCGATGCGCCACCTTGCTCGGCTCTCCAAGGCCTCTGACGATTACATTATTCCAAAGGAGGGGTTCTCAGGTCCTCAGAACAACTGAGAGGTTGATGCTACAGACCCCAGCCACTGTTCAGCCACCGGCTAAGTAAATCTACAAATGCTTTGAGCCTTGAATTTCTCCGGCAGGCAGTCAAGGGATTTAGGGTTGGTTGTCTGAAGATGCCACCTTGAGGGGCTAGAAACTGGGTCAAGGTTTCAGTGCCCTAAGTGGGGAAGGGGAGTAAGGAATGTGGTGAGGTAGTCCCACCAGGAAGAGGCGGGCACAGTACTTCGGTCAGCCAGTCTCTAGGAATCAGGACTCTGAATCTTAACCAGGAGACACAGTTAAGAGAACAGTGGTGGTGGAGGACGCCTACTATCCTAGCACTGGGATATTCCACATATCCCACATAAAAAGAGCTGGAAATGTAGCTCAGAGTGGGGACCCTGGGTTCAATTCCCAGTACCACCACAAAAACAAAATTCCCTATCCTATCCCATGTCTGCCGCAGGGGCGGGTACTTTGGCAAAGTTTGCTAACTGTAGCCTGGGTCCCTCACACCCCTTTTGCTGGGAGGTTTGTCCCTAAGGGCTTTTTGTTTGATGTTGATGTGTCAAAAGATTTTCACGGATTCCAGTTCCCAATGGGGAAGTTTCTCATGAAGACAATAAAATGGCTTTGTGGTTTAGACATTAGCCTGCTTTTGCAGAGATGGTCAGGTTTGGACCCTGGACTGTGGCCAATGTGCTGAAGCCCTTTTGCCGCCCCTACCCTGCCGGGTACTAGGGGTAGGACCCAGGGCTCCCCAATGCTAGCAAGTGCTCTGCCAGCCACTAAGTTACATCTGTACCTCTTTAAACATTTTGAGACACTGTCTTGCTAAGTTGTGCTGGGTGTCCTTCAACTTTTGATCCTCCTGCCTCAGCCTTCCAGAGTGGTGGGATTACAGGGCTGTGCCCTACAGCTGGCTTATCCGGTCTGTCTAATGGGCACTCTTGCTGTGCCGTGTACCAAGCTGCCATTGAGCCTTGGGGCTGCTCACAGCCAGATGGAGGCAGAGGAAGCAATTTCAGCGCAGCAAGTGTATTGTACAGGGGCTGCAGACAAGGCAGGGACCAGGACTGGGCGGTGATGGGGTGGGGGGCCTCACACAGCTGGGAGGTTGGTAGGAGATAGTTCACTGCCTCTCTTGGCCTCAGGGTCCTGGTCTGTGACACAAGGGGACCGTAAAGTGGCAGGACCTGGCACACAGTCCCCCCATCCCTTCCTGGGCTGCATGTAGTATCCTCCAAGGCGCCACAGCAACCACCATTCTGGGTACAATTTCTGCTCAGCTCCAGCAGGCTCCAGGGGCTCTTTGCAAGAGAGGCACTGTACGCATGTGTGGGGGTGCACAGCTGAACCCCAGCACGGTAGAAGGCTGAGACATAAGGATTGCAAGTTTGAGCAAAGCATGGGTAACTTAGGGACTTAGGGAGACTCTGTCTTCACACAGAATCAAAAAAGCAGGCTGGGATGTAGCTCAGTGGAAAGGCCCGAGGTTTAATTCCTAGTACTAGAAAATGAAAATAATCAAAAAGCCATGTGGCCACCACCACAACCTGTAAGGAATGTGACCATGCCTGTGTGTCACACATTGCACGGCAGAGTGCTGTCAGTCTTGGATAGTCTCAGGCTCAAGCTCTGGCACAGAGGCGTGAAGAGAAGGTGGAGGAAACAGGCTCAACCTTGGCCTGCCACCTGCCCGACAACATATACACAACTTACTAACATCAATGACATGTAAAGCCACCGAACACAGCACCCCTCACCGGGGTGTCTGCACCCAGTCTTCTTGACCCCCCACCCTGCCACAGAAAAGACAGGCCAGCCAGTGCACTTTGACAAAAATGTATTTCTGTGACATCCCCACACGCAGATGTGTCCCCAGCTCTGGGTGGAAAAGCAGTGTGCCAGGCCTCTGCCTGGCAGGGCCTGTGATGGAGGGTGGTACGGGGGGTGGGGGAAGCTGTAACCCCGCCTGCCAGGGAGTGGCTGCAGGAGGGGCCACCTGGTGGGTGAGGCGCAACTGAGGGACGCAGGGAGGCCAGAGCCACGGGGGCCACCTCCAGGGCAGCTCTGCTCCCCTGGCCCGTGCCACGAGGACTCTGCAATCCAGGTGTCCACGAGGAGCAACTCCGAGCTCCAGCCTGGGGACACAGTTGCCTCTCGGGTCAGCCTGGTGGTGGGGTGAGCAAGGCAGGCTCGGGCTCAGTTCTGCTGGTGGGCTGCCCGACACCTTGGGGCTTGTGGGCAGAAGAGGGCACAAAGCGAGTGAGCCCCGAGCCCCAGGAGGTGCTGACTTGGAGCTCGGCAGGCGCCGCGTGGGTTTGCAGAGGGGCAGTGGCACTACCTGAAGCCTGGCTGTCCCGGGCTGGGGCCATCCGCAGCCTGGGGCCGGTGGGAGGCTCAGAGGCAGCCTCCATAGCAGCGTGGCCCAGGCAGGCCCGGCCAGGGCCCTGGGGTGGGCTCACACCCTGCCCCGGCGGCCCGCAGCCGGGAGCACCACGGCTTCAGGGAGACCCGTGGGGTCAGTGTAGTCCCCAAACCCCATCAGCCGTGCCTGGGCCCCCGGTGGGGATCTCAGACATTCACAGGCGGCTTAGGGTGCCAGAGCCAGGCTGGGGGTCCCCTGGGAGAGGACCAGACACGTCAGAGGCATAGAGGCGCTGGGCGGGAGGATGGGCTGCAATGTCTGGAGCTGGGCTGGGGTAGCTGAGGAGCTGCAAGGGCTTGGGGAGTCTCCTTTGTTTTTATACAGAAATCATACACACAAAACTCCACACTACCTAACCAAAAAAAATAATATATATATATATAATATATATATCTCACTAATGTTAAGGAAAAGCGTCGGTTGTGCAAAAGTCCCTTCTGTCTCCTCGCCCCTCGGGCGCTCCGGAGGGCCTGCAGCTGGGCCTTGGGGCTGAGTCCCAGCCTCGGTCCAGCAGTGTGGCGCAGGCCTCTATCTGGACGTGTCCATGTTTTCCTCTTTAAAGTTGCTGCAGTGCTCGATCACCTTGCTGGGGACACAGGAGAGGAGAGAGGGCTGGAGGGTGGGCTGGGAGCCTGCTGGCCAAGCTCCCCAGAGCTTTGCAGATTTACCATGGACACCCTGGGCACAGCCCCAGCCTCCGGGAAGCGAGCTGCGGGGGCTGGGGCTGCACCGCTCATTCCAGGGGGGTCCTGGGGAGCCTCAGGCGGTGGGGCTCATTTCACAACCTCAGACTCAGCCACGTGTGAGCGGTGTCTTTTGCCAAAATCACGGCAGAGCAGCCAGCACCAGCATCCCCGTCCCTGCAAAGGGCCCCTGCGTGCCAGGCCCTGGTGCTGTGTTCCTTCTGGTCCTACCCCATGCTCAGAACTGTGACAAACGGCTGTGCGCCCTTCTGAAGGGTCCTCCCTGCTGGCCTGGCACAGCGTCCCTGACCTTTTCTCATACATAGGTAGATGAGAAAACCAGAGCCCATGTGTAGACCTGCCAGTGAAACCCACGGAGCAGACTCCTGCACACGGACCCGTTTGGGGGCAAGGTTCTGAGACTGGAACTCGGCCTCCAGTAAGCTAGCGAGCGACACCCCTGCCCCTCAGAGGAACTGCCTCTCTCCCTGGACTTTACCACGCCAGGTCCTATTTGGTTGCAATATCTGTGGCCAAAAGAACGAGAGGTCCTGACCTGATTTGCTAAAGGCCCAGAGAGAAGAGAGTGGACTTCGCAGAGATACAAGAAAATGAAGATGACACGTGAGTCCCTCTCACGTGTTCCGGCCGTGACACACAGTGTTCCGGCCGTGCTCAGCCTCAGCTTCCTGCCCACTGCTGCTGAAGTGGCAGTGAGGCCCCACAAGAGACCCATGTACCATCTACCTCCACACACGAGGGACCGAGGGCCCTTAGTCACCAGCAGACCCATGCCCGCCCTGCCTGGCGCAGGCCCCAGCAGCTGCGCACTCTCACCGGGCCATCTCCTTGGTCTCTTGCCGCGCTGTCGCCATCTTGATCATGTCCCTCAGCAAGGGCATCCCACCCTCCTTGATCAGCAGCGGGCAGTACTTGTCGGCTGTGAGGCAGGGCGGAGGGCTGATGAGGGCCAGGTCTTCCCCAGATCCACCCAGAAGCCCACCCCTGCTTGAGGACCCCTAAAGGAGGGGACACTCACAGTTACATCAGGGCAACCTGGGGAGGGACTCCCGAATCACCACACGCCTGTCATCCCAGCACTCGGGAGGCTGAGGCAGGAGGAGCACTGCGAGTTTGAGGCCAGTGAGCTCAAAACCAGCCAGAACTGCAGAGCAAGACCCTGTCTCTAAAAAGACCCCATCCCCAAAAGATTCCTAAACTCTGTTCCTGTATGTTCAGATCCAACAGATCCAAGACCTGCACTGATTCATACATTTTGTTCTGTTCTATGGTACTGGGGATTAAACTCAGGGGTGCTCTACCCCTTAGCTACATATTGCCTCTTATTGTCCAGGTGGGGGGACTTGAATTTATAATCTTCCTGTCTCACCCTCCCTCAAGGTTAGGATTATAGGAGTGAGGGTGGGAATAAGTCCCAGTGAGCTATCTCCCAAGCCCTACTGATTGGGATTGTTAATAGAACACCAACCTGTGACACTAGCCTAGTCACACTGGAATCATAGTGCTGTTCCAGCTCGAGGGGTTTTTTTGTCCTTTTTTTTTTTAATATTTTTTTTTTATTTATTAGAGAGAGAGAGAGAGAGAGAGAGAGAGAGAGAGAGAGAGAGAGAGAGAGTGGTGTGTGTGTGTGGCCAGCTCAGCCCACCAGGGGGCGGGGCTGGCTGGCATGTGGTGCTGGGGGATTGAACCGCGGTCCCTGATGCTTTGCCAAGCTTGTTCTAAGTAGGTGCCTTAGACCACTGAGCCATCTCTCCAGCCCCTTTTTTGTCCTTTTGAGGCAAGATCTTGCTATGCAGTTCAGGCTGACCTTGAGCTCACTTTGTAGCCCAGGCTGGTCTCAAACTCATGATGAGCCTCCTGCCTCAGCCTCGCCAGTGCTGGGATCACAGGTGTGCCTCACCATGCCCAGCTCAAGCTCCAGTTCTGATGGTTCACTCAGAAGAGCAGGTGGTACTAAGCAAGCTGTGTGGGAACCCCAGAGGGTGGCGCTGCCCTTGGTGACAGCAGAGGGCTCTGCTGTGACAAGTGGCTCAGGGCTCAGTTCTCTGAGGGCACGGCTGCGAGACCTGCAGCCAGGACAGGGTGCACTCACGGTAGACAGACACGAGGTTGTACAGGGCCCAGGTCGCCCAGTGCTGGCTGACGGGGGAGATGCCCTGGGGGAGCAGGCGGAGGATGGGCTCAAAGGACCTGTGGGCAGAGACAGTGAGGTGACTGGGCTGCCCATGCAGCAGGGCCACAGACAGACAGTGCTGGGCACCCGCAGCCTCTGTAGCCACCCCAGAATCCTGCTTCTGGGGACTCCTGGGGGCTCCTTGGCATGAGGCCCAAGAATTTCAGTGCGTGAGGACTTGGCTGAGTCACCAGTGAGGCTTTATCCCCCCAGTGTGAGTTTCTCACTCAAATGTCCACAAGTCCAGAGTGCCACGAACCAAGTGGTCGGGTGACAGGGCCTGGGAGTGGGCGGATGGCCACGACACAGCAGGCAGCGGCGCCAGAGGGACACTGGTGCATGAGGGGGGCTCTACCAGGAAGGTGGGCTGAGGTGACACCGTGCCAGTTCCCTTTGGGTGTTTGCATCAGGCACTGCCAGGTGCAGGCTGTGCACAGGGCAAGGGCAGCCCCAGGTGCCAGGTGGGCTCAGGGTCCCTGTGCTCCCATCTGTGTGTGGCCTAGCCAAGTGAATGGGAACAGACCTCTAGGAGGACACAAGCCACCCCGGGACGAGGTCCCGCCCGCCTCCCACAGCACCTGTAGTTGATGTTCCTGCGGGAGTTGATGTCCCAGCTCTGGATGGCCGCCCACATGCGCTCCTCCACCTCCGCCCTTTGTGGCTCACACACGCCCCAGGCCTCTGGGCCATCGAACATGATGTGGGACAGGACGCCACAGGCGTTGTAGGACACCTCGATGCCATCGGCCTTGCTCTCCAGCAGATTGCTGTGGAAGGAAGGGGCAAGGTGGGCTCCTGGAAGTTGCTGGATTGTAACTTTTTTTTTTTTTTTCTCGGAACCGGGAATTGAACTCAGGTCCTTGCGCTTGCCAGGGAAGCGCTTATTCCACAGAGCCATCTCCCCGGCCCCTGAAGCTTTTTTTTGGGAGGGGGGTTTGGCATGGGGAGCTGAACTCAGGTCCTCGAGCTTTCCAGGCAGATGCTTTATGCCGCTGAGGTATATCCCTGGCCCTGTTTTTTGTTGTTTTTTCTTTTTGAGAAAAGCTCTCGAGATGCAATCCAGGCAGGCCTTGAACTCACTACGCAGCCCAGGCTGGCCTGGAACTCACAGTGATCCTCCTGCCTCAGCTTCCCAAGTGCTGGGATTACA